TGTTGTTTTTGTTTTGTTTTTGTTTTTTTGTCTTACGACACTTAACTGTGTTACTGTATTAAGTATTGTACCACTGTTAAGTTCCAGCTTCCTGGTAAATATCCTACGGTTGTGATCTATAGACAAGGGAGTTGCGCCCCACCATCCGACCGTGGGATAAAATGCATAGTGTCAGATAGGATAAGTTTTAAAATTTGAAAATTTTATTATAAATTGTATTTTCAGATACGTTTCCACTCAGAATCGAAGAAGAAAGAGAAATGCATAGTGTGAGATAGAATAAGTATATAAATATACAATTTATAATTAAATTTTCAATTTCTTCTGGAAATTGCTCAATAATTTCACGAAATCACCTGAAAAATAAGTCATTTTATTAGATGACTAACCCTACTAGTTATTTCGCGATATGGCTAAAATGTTTAGTAATTTCACAAAATAACTGATTTCAGTCTTATTGATAAACTGGGAAACATTTAGCTGAAAACCTGGAAAACCTGGTACGAGACTCTGAACGTCATCTGTCGTAACGCTTGTCATTAACTCTTCACACCCTTCCACACATTCACACACACTAAACTGTACTGGACCTGCTGCACCATCAGGGCTGAGATAGCGGAACATCTGCTTCGTTTCTAACACTCTATCGTCCTACTAAAACCAAACAAGACCATTATAATTTCATCATAATTTCAATTTTGATATAAAGTGTGATTAATGAACATATGCTCTTCACAAAAAGTAGGGGATACTCAGAAATAACTCCTAATTTCCAAAATCCTAAGATATTTTTTTATCCAGTGAACAGAACGAATTGGGAACACTTTATAACAGGTCGTGAAGTATGATAGTAGATGTTATGACCGCCAACGATCTTGAAGGACGACAGGAGTATGACAGGAAATCTCAGTTGACGTTTTGGGATAAGTAGTGCTTAATAAATATCGTCACGATTTGTCAAACATTCATTCATTCGACAAGGTAAACTGCGTATGAGTCTCCCAGTGGCGATTTGAAGGAGTCTGTCATACCCCTTTTGTAGCGCCTGGCCAAGTTCTGCCAACGTGGTCGGCGGCCAATGATGTTGAATGACAAGTAACAGACGTGTTCAATAGGGGAAGATCTGGGCTCATTCCTGGCCATGGCATTCTATGGGTGTTGTGCTGCTGGAGGTGAACATCGACGATTTGTGCACCGTGAGCAAGGGCGTTGTCGTCCTGGAAGATAAAACGTCGACCCACACGACTTGCCACATAGAGTGCCAGTATGTTGTCCCGATAGTACTGTCCAGTGACCGTTCCTTGCACAATATGAAGTGGGGTTCGGTCATGCAGGCATAGTGATGCCACTCCACACCATAACCAATCCAACTCCAAATCTGTCATGAGGTCTCAGGATGAGATTGGCTTGACGTTCATTTCGACGTCGCCAGACACGACCACGCCTGTCAAGAAAGTGCAAAGTGAATCGGGGCTGATCTGAAAACATGACCCGTGAACAGCGACGATTACCCCCGTCTCGATCTTGTAGAGCCTGGTTTCGGATCAATGGATCCTGTACTCTTGTCGTTGACCGTGGACGCCCTGAACGTGGTTGATGGTCCGGAGTCTGCTAATCACATATTGGCCACATCACATGCATGCCAATAGCCCGTAGGCGCTCCCCGCGTTGGAGACCCCACATCACTCACCATGATCTCAAACACAAACAATGAATGAAATGAAGTAAATGACATCTTGTGATGATAGCAATAAGAACCAGCAAGATTAACAGAAATAATGGGGCACAGAAATTAATCCACCTTCCTTAAAAGTGTGAACATTAGGATTGACATTCTACGCAGGTGTGTGGTGCTACTGCACGAGGCAAGTGTAAACTACAGGAAGTGTTTTGGTGTTACGTTTTACATACATAAGCTTATACGAGGTAAAAACACTAACTGCAACATAGTTGCGTTTTCATGCGTGTTGTTTTAGAAAGAACACCAGGAATTCCCAGATTTATTCACTGCGAAATGGTGACATACTGTGTCGCGAACAGGTCATGAAGCGGTATGTGCTTCGTGCATCAGACATTGTACGTATTGAGACAAACGTAACATCAGACGGGGCAAACATTGTACATACTGAGACAAACGTAACATCAGACGGGGCAAACATTGTACATACTGAGACAAACGTAACATCAGACGGGGAAAACATTGTACATACTGAGACAAACGTAACATCAGACGGGGCAAACATTGTACATACTGAGACAAACGTAACATCAGGCGGGGCAAACATTGTACATACTGAGACAAACGTAACATCAGGCGGGGCAAACATTGTACATACTGAGACAAACGTAACATCAGGCGGGGAAAACATTGTACATACTGAGACAAACGTAACATCAGACGGGGAAAACATTGTACATACTGAGACAAACGTAACATCAGGCGGGGCAAACATTGTACATACTGAGACAAACGTAACATCAGGCGGGGCAAACATTGTACATACTGAGACAAACGTAACATCAGGCGGGCAAACATTGTACATACTGAGACAAACGTAACATCAGGCGGGGCAAACATTGTACATACTGAGACAAACGTAACATCAGACGGGGAAAACATTGTACATACTGAGACAAACGTAACATCAGGCGGGGCAAACATTGTTCATACTGAGACAAACGTAACATCAGGCGGGGCAAACATTGTACATACTGAGACAAACGTAACATCAGACGGGGAAAACATTGTACATACTGAGACAAACGTAACATCAGGCGGGGCAAACATTGTACATACTGAGACAAACGTAACATCAGACGGGGCAAACATTGTACATACTGAGACAAACGTAACATCAGACGGGGAAAACATTGTACATACTGAGACAAACGTAACATCAGACGGGGAAAACATTGTACATACTGAGACAAACGTAACATCAGGCGGGGCAAACATTGTACATACTGAGACAAACGTAACATCAGACGGGGCAAACATTGTACATACTGAGACAAACGTAACATCAGACGGGGAAAACATTGTACATACTGAGACAAACGTAACATCAGACGGGGAAAACATTGTACATACTGAGACAAACGTAACATCAGACGGGGCAAACATTGTACATACTGAGACAAACGTAACATCAGACGGGGCAAACATTGTACATACTGAGACAAACGTAACATCACACAGGGCAAACATTGGACGTATTAGGACAAACGTAACATCAGACGGAACAAATAGTGTACGTACTGGAATGGAATGAATCTTTTGACATTTGCATTGCATTCAGTGTATGTATTCGCATATACTGTCACTGCAGACAGTGACAACACCAGAATTGTGAACGGGATGTTATGGTGGCTTCGTTTGCTTTTTAGAAAGCCCGAAAACATGTTTCATTGTGTGTTTGTTGTTTAACGCCGCACTCAGCAATATTCAAGCTATATGACGGCGGTCTGTAAATAATCGTGTCTGGATCAGACAATCCAGTGATTGACGTGATGAGCATTGATCCACGCAATTGGGATACGATGACATGCATCAACCAAGTCAGCGAGCCTAAACACCCGATCCCGTTAGTCGCCTCTTGGGACAAGCATTGTCGCCTTTTACGGCAAGCATGGGTTGCTGAAGACCTACTCTGCCCCGTATCTTCACGGGTCTAAAAATATAAGTTGTTATATAAAACACCAATGAAAGTTGTCAAAGAGACCAATTTCATAATAAATTATCCTTTATATCCCATTTAAGAATCTCAAAACGAATTGTTTGAAGGCTGTGGATATACTTAAGGTTGTGTCAGAATGTTTATATAACACGTGGCGGTGATACAGAAACACTATTTCATCTTTACAGAGCATTAGTCAGATCTATACTAGATAATTGATATTTCATATATGGTTCAGCTCGCAAGTCGTATTTACGAGTTGCTGGATAGCATGCACCTTCAGGTTCTGACATTATGTCTAGGTGTTTTCAGAACTTCACCTGTGATGAGTGATCATGTGCAAGCAGACTTTGAAGAAGGGTAAAAGCTTTTACATATTACTAAACGTGAGGCAAATCCTTCTAATCCAGTTTTTAATCGCGTGTTTCAACCCCAATATCCGAGTCTGTACTTCAATACGCCGAAAACAGTTCTACCTCTTGGTATTCGTACGAAACCTCATATCAATGAAGCTCATGTAAATCTTGCTGCAACTGCTTAATGTCAAAAACCGGCAATACCTCTGTGGCAATGTATACAGCCCACTGTCAATCTCGATTTAACAAAGCTGGAAAGAAGTTCATATTCATTCTTTGCCATATCAACAAGCTATGAGAGATACTAGTACCCTTCTTACATCTGCAGCTATACTGAGGAGTCGAAAGAAGTGAAAAGTATCAGCTGCAGATGGAAGTTCTATTTTTTCTGCAGAAGTGAGGGCTATTTTAACTTTAACATTGGCTTTCCAGAATAATAAGAAAAAAATACAGCTTCATGGATAGCAAGTTTTGGTTAATTGCATTTAAGCTGGAGTGATAACGTTGCACGAATCTACAGCCAAAAAGTTGTTTGTTTCCTTCAGGGCCATTCTATTAGCATTGCAATGTATCAGTAAGTCACAGGTTACAGGACACAGTTACAGGACACACCTGACATTCAATCTTCACTTCCCCATCACAGGATGCACTCTCCACCATCACCACTAGTTACAGGACACACCTGACCTTCAATCTTCACTTCCCCATCACAGGATGCACTCTCCACCATCAACACTAGTTACAGGAAAAACCTGACCTTCAATCTTCACTTCCTCATCACAGGATGCACTGTCAACCATCAACACCAGCTACAGGACACACTTGACCTACAATCTTCACTTCCCCATCACAGGATGCAGTGTCCACTATCAACACCAGTTACAGGACACACCTGACATTCAATCTTCACTTCCCCATCACAGGATGCACTCTCCACCGTCAACACTAGTTACAGGACACACCTGACCTCCAATCTTCACTTCCCCATCACAGGATGCACTCTCACCGTCAACACTAGTTACAGGACACACCTGACCTCCAATCTTCACTTCCCCATCACAGGATGCACTCTCCACCATCAACACTAGTTACAGGACACACCTGACATTCAATCTTCACTTCCCCATCACAGGATGCACTCTCCACCGTCAACACTAGTTACAGGACACACCTGACCTCCAATCTTCACTTCCCCATCACAGGATGCACTCTCCACCGTCAACACTAGTTACAGGACACACCTGACCTCCAATCTTCACTTCCCCATCACAGGATGCACTCTCCACCGTCAACACTAGTTACAGGACACACCTGACCTCCAATCTTCACTTCCCCATCACAGGATGCACTCTCCACCATCAACACTAGTTACAGGACACACCTGACCTCCAATCTTCACTTCCCCATCACAGGATGCACTCTCCACCATCAACACTAGTTACAGGACACACCTGACATTCAATCTTCACTTCCCCATCACAGGATGCACTCTCCACCGTCAACACTAGTTACAGGACACACCTGACCTTCCCGTGACGGGAAGAGATGTCACTGTGTTTTCCCCTCATCTCACATATTTCGAAATAAAGCAAGAATTTATAAATGCTTTTTCATTCTTTATTATAGGGTGTTTTAACAATTTTGATTATTACAATATGTCAGTATACTAGTGTTGCTACGTCTGTGAATAAATATATTTCACAAGATAGCAGTTTCAGTAATTAGCAAGTTTTAAAACATATGTAACGTGATCCCCAAAACATCTCGTTTTACCGGCGGAGACAAGCAGAAGGATTAATTTTTTCTCCAGATCTCCAAGTCAACGTTGTACCTGGTTTTCTCGGAAGAGTTGTCATACAGCTGGCACCAAGTCCCATTCATTGAGAAGTGAGTGCAGTTCTTCAGTTCCAGACATATATTTCCGCATTCGGTGTCAGAGACGTGTCTCGTGGAATAAGTCGATGAAAGCTTGAGGCTCCCCTGTTTCCTTGTTATCCTCGAGAAGTACGCCACTTTGCATATAGGCTCTGCACAGACCACATGTGTATTACTAAAAAGAAACCTTTACAAAAATGGCGTATGTGTCATAACGTAGGTATATATATATATGAAGCCACTGGTGACCAAATCCTGCAGAAAGCAAAGACCCCATGATTCCCTGTAAGGTGGCCTACCTTAGATGTTGGGGGTCAGTCGAATGGTTTTAATTGATAAGACTTTATCTGTTGTATATTGTTTATAATTTTGCTCAGGTGTGTTGTATTTCTAAAACTGATTTACTTTACTGTTTTACTGTCTTTTGTCGACAGCTTGACCTCGTTTCCATTGTTATATAGCTGTAATATTGCTGATGCGATGTAAAATATTAATTCAAAGAGAATATCAAGGCTAAACGTAGTGGAAAACTCTCTGAAGGTGTGTTGTTCCAACAGGACAATGTATATGTGTGCACGAATTGTGTTGTCATGGCTGCAATGCATGCATGTAGCTTTGAACTCATTGAATATCAGATTTCCATCTTTTCACAAACTTGAAAAAAGAACTATCTGTCAGGCATTATGAAAATGATGATGACGTCAGTTCTGCTGTGGAGAAGCTAGTGGACCTCGGAGGGAGTATGTTGAACTATAATTAGCAGTTTGCTCCATCAACCCAGTCCATCATTGTCAGGCAGGAACAGTTAAGCCAACCCTCGTATCATTTGAAGATTTGGACAAGGAAACCCTTCCTACAACAAACCTTTAGAAGAGAAAGGCTACTGGTGACCCCACGATTGGGAGGCGTTGGACAAGCTTGTAAATCTCGTCTGTTCCTGGACAGTTGTATTTGTGGCCAGGTGTTACGTTGTTCCCAGACTGTTGTATTTGTAGCCAAGTAAAACGTTATTTCTAGACAGTTGTATTTGTGGCCAAATGATACGTTATTCCTAGATAATTGTATTTCCAAGTGATGCGTTATTCCACGATAGTTGTATTTGCGGCCAGGTGATACGTTATTCTTTGATAAGTGTATTTGTGGCCAAGTGATACGTTTTTCCTGGACAGTTGTATTTGTGGCAAAGTGATACGCTATTCCTTGATAATTGTATTTTTGGCCAAGTGATACATTATTTCTAGATAATTGTATTTGTGGCAAAGTGATACGCTATACCTAGATAATTGTATTTGTTGACAGGAGATACATTATTCCTAGATAGTTGTATTTGTGGCAAAGTGATACGCTATTCCTAGACAGTTGTATTTGTGGCCAAGTGATACGTTATTCCTAGACAGTTGTATTTGTGGCCAAGTGATACGTTATTCCTAGACAGTTGTATTTGTGGCCAGGTGATACGTTATTCCTCGATAGTTATTGTATATGTGGCAAAGTGATACTCTATTCCTAGATAATTGTATTTGTGGCCAAGTGATACATTATTTCTAGATAACTGTATTTGTGGCCAAGTGTTACGTTATTCCTTGATAGTTGTATTTGTGGCCAAGTGATACGCTATACCTAGATAATTGTATTTGCTGACAGGAGATACATTATTCCTAGATAGTTGTATTTGTGGCCAGGTGATACGTTATTCCTCGTTAGTTATTGTATATGTGGCAAAGTGAAACTCTATTCCTAGATAATTGTATTTGTGGCAAAGTGATACGTTATTCCTCGATAAGTGTATTTGTGGCCAAGTGATACGTTGTTCCTAGACAGTTGTATTTGCGGACAGGTGATACGTTATTCCTGGACAGTTATATTTGTGGCAAAGTGATACGCTATTCCTTGATAATTGTATTTTTGGCCAAGTGATACATTATTTCTAGATAATTGTATTTGTGGCCAAGTGATACGCTATTCCTTGATAATTGTATTTGTGGCCAAGTGATACATGATTTCTAGATAATTGTATTTGTGGCAAAGTGATACGTCATTCCTTGATAGTTGTATGTGTAGCCAAGTGATACGCTATACCTAGATAGTTGTATTTGTGGCCAAGTGATACGTTATTCCTTGATAGTTGTATTTGTAGCCAAGTGATACGCTATACCTAGATAGTTGTATTTGTGGCCAAGTGATACGTTATTCCTTGATAGTTGTATTTGTAGCCAAGTGATACGCTATTCCTAGACAGTTGTATTTGTGGCCAAGTGATACGTTATTCCTAGACAGTTGTATTTGTGGCCAAGTGATACGTTATTCCTAGACAGTTGTATTTGTGGCCAAGTGATACGTTATTCCTCGATAGTTATTGTATATGTGGCCAAGTGATACTCTATTCCTAGATAATTGTATTTGTGACCAAGTGATACGTTACTCCTCGATAAGTGTATTTGTGGCCAAGTGATACTCTATTCTTAGATAATTGTATTTGTGGCCAAGTGATACGTTATACCTAGATAATTGTATTTGCGGCGAGGTGATACGTTATTCCTAGTCAGTTGTATTTGTAGCTTTAGACTACTGTATTCCTAGATAGTTTTATTTGTGGCCAAGTGATAAGTTATTTCTAGATAGTTGTATTTGCGGACAGGATATACGCTATTCCTAGACGATGGTATTTGCGGCCAAGTGATACTTTATTCCTAGACAGTTGTATTTGTGGCCAAGTGATGCGTTATTCCTAGATAGTTGTATTTGTTGCCAAGTGATGCGTTATTCCTTGATAATTGTATTTTTGGCAAAGTGATACATTATTTCTAGATAATTGTATTTGTGGCCAAGTGATACGCTATTTCTTGATAATTGTATTTGTGGCCAAGTGATACGCTATTCCTTGATAATTGTATTTGTGGCCAAGTGATACATTATTTCTAGATAATTGTATTTGTGGCAAAGTGATACGTTATTCCTTGATAGTTGTATTTGTGGCCAAGTGATACGCTATACCTAGACAGTTGTATTTGTGGCCAAGTGATACGCTATACCTAGACAGTTGCATTTGTGGCCAAGTGATACGTTATTCCTAGACAGTTGTATTTGCGGACAGGATATACGCTGTTCCTAGATAATGGTATTTGCGGCCAAGTGATACGTTATTCCTAGACAGTTGTATTTGTGGCCAAGTGATGCGTTATTCCTAGACAGTTGTATTTGTTGCCAAGTGATACGCTATTCCTAGATAATTGTATTTGTTGCCAAGTGAAACGCTATTCCTAGATTATTGTATTTGTGGCCAAGTGATACGTTATTCCTTGATAGTTGTATTTGTTGCCAAGTGATACGCTATACCTAGATAGTTGTATTTGTGGCCAAGTGATACGTTATTCCTCGATAATTGTATTTGTGGCCAAGTAATACGTTGTTCCTAGACAGTTGTATTTGCGGGCAGGTGATACGTTATTCCTGGACAGTTATATTTGTGGAAAAGTGATACGCTATTCCTTGATAATTGTATTTTTGGCCAAGTGGTACATTATTTCTAGATAATTGTATTTGTGGCCAAGTGATACGCTATTCCTTGATATTTGTATTTGTGGCCAAGTGATACACTATTTCAAGATAATTGTATTTGTGGCCAAGTGATACATTATTTCTAGATAACTGTATTTGTGGCCAAGTGATACGTTATTCCTTGATAGTTGTATTTGTGGCCAAGTGATACGCTATTCCTTGATAATTGTATTTGTGGCCAAGTGATACATTATTTCTAGATAATTGTATTTGTGGCCAAGTGATACATCATTTCTAGATAACTGTATTTGTGGCCAAGTGATACGTTATTCCTTGATAGTTGTATTTGTGGCCAAGTGATACGCTATACCTAGATAATTGTATTTGTTGACAGGAGATACATTATTCCTAGATAGTTGTATTTGTGGCAAAGTGATACGTTATTCCTAGACAGTTGTATTTGCGGCCAAGTGATACGTTATTCCTAGTCAGTTGTATTTATGGCCAAGTGTTACGTTATTCCTCGATAGTTATTGTATATGTGACAAAGTGATACTCTATTCCTTGATAATTGTATTTGTGGCCAAGTGATACATTATTTCTAGATAACTGTATTTGTGGCAAAGTGATACGCTATTCCTTGATAATTGTATTTGTGGCCAAGTGATACATTATTTCTAGATAACTGTATTTGTGGCAAAGCGATACGTCATTCCTTGATAGTTGTATTTGTGGCCAAGTGATACGCTGTACCTAGACAGTTGCATTTGTGGCCAAGTGATACGTTATTCCTAGACAGTTGTATTTGCGGACAGGATATACGCTGTTCCTAGATAATGGTATTTGCGGCCAAGTGATACGCTATTCCTTGATAATTGTATTTGTGGCCAAGTGATACATTATTTCTAGATAATTGTATTTGTTGACAGGAGATACATTATTCCTAGATAGTTGTATTTGTGGCAAAGTGATACGTTATTCCTAGACAGTTGTATTTGCGGCCAAGTGATACGTTATTCCTAGTCAGTTGTATTTATGGCCAAGTGTTACGTTATTCCTCGATAGTTATTGTATATGTGACAAAGTGATACTCTATTCCTTGATAATTGTATTTGTGGCCAAGTGATACATTATTTCTAGATAACTGTATTTGTGGCAAAGTGATACGCTATTCCTTGATAATTGTATTTGTGGCCAAGTGATACATTATTTCTAGATAACTGTATTTGTGGCAAAGCGATACGTCATTCCTTGATAGTTGTATTTGTGGCCAAGTGATACGCTGTACCTAGACAGTTGCATTTGTGGCCAAGTGATACGTTATTCCTAGACAGTTGTATTTGCGGACAGGATATACGCTGTTCCTAGATAATGGTATTTGCGGCCAAGTGATACGTTATTCCTAGACAGTTGTATTTGTGGCCAAGTGATGCGTTATTCCTAGCTAGTTGTATTTGTTGCCAAGTGATACGCTATTCCTAGATAATTGTGTTTGTTGCCAAGTGATACGTTATTCCTAGATAGTTGTATTTGTTGCAAAGTGATACGTTCTTCCTTAATAGTTGTATTTGTGGCCAAGTGATACGTTATTCCTTAATAGATGTATTTGTGGCCAAGTGATACGCTATTCATCAATAATTGTATTTGTGGCCAAGTGATACGTTATTCATCGATAATTGTATTTGTGGCCAAGTAATACGTTATTCCTCGATAATTGTATTTGTGACCAAGTGATACGTTATTCCTAGACAGTTGTTTTTTGTGGCCAAGTGATACGTTCTTCCTTAATAGTTGTATTTGTGGCCAAGTGATACGTTATTCCTCGATAATTGTATTGGTGACCAAGTGATACGTTATTCCTAGGCAGTTGTTTTTTGTGGCCAAGTGATACGTTATTCCTTAATAGTTGTATTTGTGGCCAAGTGATACGTTATTCCTCGATAATTGTATTTGTGGCCAGGTGATACGTTATTCCTCGATAATTGTATGTGTGGCCAAGTGATAAGTTATTCCTCGATAATTGTATTTGTGGCCAAGTGATACGTTATTCCTTAATAGTTGTATTTGTGCCTAAGTGATATATCATTCCCAGATAAGTGTATTTGTGGCCAAGTGATACGTTATTCCTTGATAGTTGTATTTGTAGCCAAGTGGTACGTTATTCCTTAATAGTTGTATTTGTGGCCAAGTGATACGTTATTCCTCGATAATTGTATTTATGGCCAAGTGATACGTTATTCCTCGATAATTGTATTTGTGGCGATGTGATACGTTATTCTAGATAGCTGTAAGGAAGATAATTTATGGATGTGAACTTTTTAATTATGAGGAAAACAATGTTTCGGAGTATATACTAACTACTTCATCACGTGACATCCATCTTCCTTATGTGTTTCACTTCTAAATGCCATAGAAAGACTATGTATTTGTGGCCAGGTTGACCGTTGTTCCTGTAGTCTCATTTGTATCTTTAGACTAATTTATTCTTAGATTGTGTTATTTGTATCTTTAGACTGCTTTATTCTTAGATAGTCTTATTTGTATCTTTAGACTACTTTATTCTTTGATACTTTTATTTGTAGCTTTAGACTACTTAATTCTTAGATAGTCTTATTTGTATCTTTAGACTACTTTATTCATTGATACTTTTATTTGTATCTTTAGACTACTTAATTCTTAGATAGTCTTATTTGTATCTTTAGACTACTTTATTCTTTGATACTTTTATTTGTATCTTTAGACTGCTTTATTCTTAGATTGTGTTATTTGTATCTTTAGACTGCTTTATTCTTAGATAGTCTTATTTGTATCTTTAGACTACTTTATTCTTTGATACTTTTATTTGTATCTTTAGACTACTTTATTCTTTGATACTTTTATTTGTTTCTTTAGACTGCTTTATTCTTAGATTGTGTTATTTGTATCTTTAGACTACTTTATTCTTTGATACTTTTATTTGTATCTTTAGACTACTTTATTCTTAGATAGTCTTATTGGTATCTTTAGACTACTTTATTCTTTGATAGTTGTGTGTGTGTAGCTGTAGATTCTTTTAAGTCCGTTCGTCTACATGCCATGAATTCCTGCCCTGGTATCGGTCCAACTTCCCGAAGAGGCCTACCATTTCCTTTCCCTAGGGCTGACAGGTATCATTTTGAAGAAACAAATCTTTTCCAAAACACTAGAAAATAAGTTTGTTCTCAAATAAATATTTGTCTGGAAGCGTTGACTTAGGAGATATTGTTGCAAATATTACCGTTTTTTCCGCACATCGAGGGGTGAGATTCTTCACATTTGCGAGTGTACAAGGTGAGCATTCCACTACTGACGGCAACACAATGGTCAGTCTCCAGGTCGTTTGGTTCATTGTGTCCCCAGTTCGCGTGAAGCACTGGTGCTCCACCAGGCCAGATGAACGAGGTGCCATTGTAATGTGCGCCCAACCAAAAAAGAGACGTTCTACAACACGGTACAGAAGTCCATGGGTGAGACATGTTCTGGCCAATTAGTTGGCGTACAGTATAAACACACGGGTATTCTGTGAAAAACGTGAATTTGTTGCTCTGGACTGATGCTATACTCGCACCGATGCTATATGATGTTGCTATGTACTGTTGCTAAAGAATGTTGTTATGCAGTGTTCCTATATGATGTTGGTATGTACTGTTGCTATATGATGTTGGTATGTACTGTTGCTGTGTGATGTTGCTATGTACTGTTATTGTGTGATGTTGCTATTTACTGTTGCTGTGTGATGTTGGTATGTACTGTTGCTGTGTGATGTTGCTATGTACTGTTGCTGTGTGATGTTGCTATGTACTGTTGCTGTGTAATGTTGCTATATACTGTTGTTGTGTGATGTTGTTATGTACTGTTGTTGTGTGATGTTGCTATGTACTGTTGTTGTGTGATGTTGCTATGTACTGTTGCTGTGTGATGTTGCTGTGTACTGTTGCTGTGTACTGTTGCTGTGTTCTGTTGCTGTGTAGTGTTGCTGTGTACTGTTGCTGTGTACTGTGGCTTCATGATGTTTCTTTAAACTGTTGTTGTATACTGTTGCTGTGTGATGTTGCTATGTACTGTTGCTGTGTAATGTTGCTATATACTGTTGTTGTGTGATGTTGCTATGTACTGTTGTTGTGTGATGTTGCTATGTACTGTTGTTGTGTGATGTTGCTATGTACTGTTGTTGTGTGATGTTGCTATGTACTGTTGCTGTGTGATGTTGCTGTGTACTGTTGCTGTGTACTGTTGCTGTGTACTGTTGCTGTGTAGTGTTGCTGTGTACTGTTGCTGTGTACTGTTGCTGTGTAGTGTTGCTGTGTACTGTTGCTGTGTACTGTTGCTGTGTAGTGTTGTTGTGTACTGTTGCTGCTTACTGTTGTTGTGTACTGTTGCTGTATACTGTTGCTGTGTACTGTTGTTGTGTAGTGTTGCTGTGTACTGTTGCTGTGTAGTGTTGCTGTGTAGTGTTGCTGTATACTGTTGCTGTGTACTGTTGCTGCTTACTGTTGTTGTGTACTGTTGCTGCTTACTGTTGCTGTGTAGTGTTGCTGTGTAGTGTTGCTGTGTAGTGTTGCTGCTTACTATTGCTGTGTACTGTTGCTGTGTAGTGTTGCTGTGTACTGTTGCTGTGTAGTGTTGCTGTGTACTGTTGCTGTGTAGTGTTGCTGTGTACTGTTGCTGTGTACTGTTGCTGTGTAGTGTTGCTGTGTACTGTTGCTGTGTAGTGTTGCTGTGTTCTGTTGCTGTGTAGTGTTGCTGTGTACTGTTGTTGTGTACTGTTGCTGTGTAGTGTTGCTGTGTAGTGTTGCTGTATACTGTTGCTGTGTACTGTTGTTGTGTACTGTTGCTGTGTAGTGTTGCTGTGTAGTGTTGCTGTGTACTGTTGCTGTGTACTGTTGCTGTGTACTGTTGCTTGATGATGTTTCTTTAAACTGTTGTTGTATACTGTTGCTGTGTACTGTTGTTGTGTGATATCGCCCTAAATATGAATCAGATGAGGCGGTCTCACTGGTCTCCTTTATTTCCAGTTCAGAGTGGGTAAATCAGTGGAAGGGAATTGGCTATTGGACGGTTACTGAACGATATCAGATCATCGATATACATGAAGCTTAAGTTAAACATCTTGGCAAGATTCCTTTGTTTTGACTTTGCCAATCCGCAGGAAACTGATTCATATATTCATGAAAAATATGTCAGCAAGGAGGGAAGCACAATCCCTACTTCTTGCCTAATTGTCGCCTCGATCTCACATTATAAGAATAATTGCTTACAATTTTAGCAAATATGTATCATTTGATACAGACATGAGCTGTCATGTTCTGATAAAATTAATATTTGACAAAAATTAATATGTAGGACAAATGCATTTTGACATTTTCGATCAACTGCTGTAGCTGGATTCAGTTTCACATTCCTGGTTTTGCAAGACTAACTAATGACACCTGTGCCATTTGGTAACTTACAGCCGTAATGTATTCTTAATACATCACTGCACACATTGAACGCGCCACCAGGTTTCAGATTCTTCATTCTTTTGCATTGTTTATGCTGAGGCAACCACGTTTCGATATAGATCCTCATATCGTTGTCAAGTAAGACTGTTGTCAACGGTATAAGGATCTATATCGAAACGTCGCCTTTAAGAAATTAAAGAAGTTGTTATCCATAAATTGTGTCTACTTTGTCATCCCTTAACTTCTAAGTAATGCCTATTAAACAATTCGTTTAACGTTTGATAAGAGTTCCAGTAATTGACTTGCCTTTGCATGTGTTTCAGGCCTACCCTTTTCCCGAACACCTGGAATCATCACTGATTTTCAGTGGTCCATTCATATAATTTTCAAAATTATTTGGCCCAAAGGAATCTGTTTCGGCGGATAATCGAGACTGGTTATTCTCTGGCATTGACGTTTTATACTTTGTGCCACCAGAGGGGCAGGATACACTCAGCATTTCGCGAACACCTGGTGTCACTACTTGATAGTGATCCATTCATATATGTTCCATATAGTCGGAATCGAACAATCCCTTGAATGTAGAAAGGGTGTTACGCTTTTATTAACATTTTCTAACTAAAGCATATTTGTAAAGCGGGCTGACGGGAGTGAAATTTAACTTATGAGTTTTTCATCTTTTAAATGTCAGTATGGAAGATGACTTGATAGGACAAACAGTTTCTGCTTACCTTGTCGGGAAGTACGTGGTCTTAATGAACTTCAGGTCGTGCTTCGACGCCACCGTGGCAAGGTCAAGGGAATAAGCCTGACAGTATTGCCGTCCCTGGGTGTAGTTGCCTTTCTTACTGATGTATCGGTAGGTATCTCCTGAAAGGGAACATACAGGTGTTCCCAGTGGCTTAAAGAAGATATAAACCTAAACTTTCGTCCATGTTCTCAGAAACAGGAATTGATGGAGTGATACGAGGGCTGGACAAAAAGTTATAAGCCTAACAAACCAAACCAACATTTGTGAAAGTGTTTTTTATTGTATTTGTTTATTAACATAATCTCCCTGCTTTTCAATACACTTAATGTCGATAGTGGAGTTTTTTAATTCCAGTCAGTAAGAAGTTTTCTGAAGCTACCCTGCAAAAAAACATTCAAGGCAGCTTTGAGGTCATCTTTGTCGTCACAGCGCTTTCTGTGAAACAGGGGGAAATCACTTGGTGCAAGGTCTGTCAGGTATGGATGAAGCTCTTCGAACCAACATTGTCGCACAGCAGCCTTTGCAAGTCAAGAAATGTGAGAAGAGACATTGTCATAAAGGGGTAGAACCCCAGCTGTCAGTATTCCTCGCCGCTTTGCTGATAGAATCTCTCAGGCGACAAAGCTAATCAGCATAGTAGGCACCGGTAAGTCTTTTGACTGTTTAAGTAATCAACAAGGACCACACCCTTTGCATCCCAGAATACAGTGGCCATAACTTTCTTCACTGATCTTGAAGACTTAAATTTCTTTGATGCCGGAGAAGTGGAATGGTGCCATTCCATGGATTGACGTTTTGACTCGGGATCTTAGTAGTAGACCCATGTTTTATCACCCGTTACCAATCTGACTCGGGATCTTAGTGGTAGACCCATGTTTCATCACCCCTTACCAATCAGTTTTTGAATTTAAAGAAATCATCCTCAATCAGCTCTAAATTGTCCCTGGCAATGTCAGGTTGTTTTTCCTTAAGATGAGAATTTAGAAACGTTAGCACCAAACGAGCAGATATCTTTTTCCTCTGTAAATGTTCATGGATAATGGTTTCAATGGATCCATGGCTTAGACCAGTGTCTTCCTCAAGTTCAGCAATGGTAATACGTCTATCTGACAGTATAAGCCTTTCTATCTCCTTGGTTGAATCTTTATTGATGGAAGTTGAGGGATGTCCAGACCTCGGGTCATCATCAAGGCTTGTTCCCGGAATAGCTAGGGCACTTTTCCCCATACACTTGTGACATGCGGTCATGAATTTCTTGGGGAGTACATTTCTCTAAAGTCAAGAACTTGATGACAGCTCGGTACTCCTCCTGTTCCATTTCTGTTTCCATTTGGACCCCTATCACGTTCAACTAGTTGTGGCTAGTATACAAACAGCCCAAACATACCAAATACACTTGCAATGAACTACTCAAACAATGTACTGAAAAGATGAACAATCATGCCAGGTCCATGTTGATTCAAAAACGGCACAACGATAGGCTGGATGACCTCGTCACGGTTTCGATGCTCGTTCAAATTGCCATTGATCTCTTTCAAACGTCTTCTCAGTCTCTCGGTGATTCCTCTCCACACCATAACACTGCCTCTTCCCAAACGGTCTACCTCCACAACACAGTTCTGAGCGTAACGTTCACCGCGACGCCGGTATACTCGTATTCGGCCATCGCCGTGGGAGAGGTGAAAACGAGACTCGTCGGTGAACAGAACCTGTCTCCACTGAAACGCCGTCCAACGCAGTCGCTGTCTACACCACTGCAGACGCAATCAGCGGTTATTGTTGGTGAGAACTGGGCGTCTGCCTCGCAACAATCCCGTATCGCCAATGACGGCCATGTATAGTCAGTGGCCAGGGATGGTTCTCACGGTGATTGTTGGTGAGAACAGGGCGTCTGGCTGGTCTCCTCTCTACAATCCCGTAACGCCAAAGACGGCGATGTATAGTCAGTGGCCAGGGATGGTTCTCACGGTGATTGTTGCAGGCTGGAACCGATTTCGCAGATGAGTGATTCGAATCCAACGATCTTGGCGGACGACGCTGCGACGTTCCTGACGAGCATATCAGTGGCTCTCAAGCGTCATTTTCAGATAGACGTGTCATCTCCAAACTTCAAATAATGATTGAAATTTAATGTTTTTCCATGTTACAGTTGTCAAGAGAAGCAGAAACAAAGCATACCGAATCTCAACCCTGGTTTGTATATGGTGCATGGTTGCTGCATGGAAGACACGTTTTGCCATCAACAACCTGCTGAGGTTGCGTTTGTGCTGTATGTTTTCATATTTTCGTATCCGATTTGAACACCAGGAAGTTTTTTCTTGTATGCCATCGATTGGAAAGGGTGTCACTTGAACTTTTGTTGCCGAGTATTTATATAACTGGGCTCAAACAAATTGAAAATATATAAACATTGAAATTCATATCGATTGTTGCTTACCAGGTGAATTTCTTGTGAGCTAACCTTTGTATGATGTGAACCATTAAATGCAAAATGTGTATCATAATAACTGAGGGAAGGTAGGGTAGCCTAGCGTTTAAAGCGTTTGCTCGTTGCGCCGAAGGCACGGGTTCGAATCCCCACCGAGGTACCGTGTTGGTGTCCCCCGCCGTGATATTAGTGCAATATGGCTAAAGGCGTGGTACACCTACACTCACTCACAGCACTCATAGTAGTTATATATCAAGTATGTACAGTATGACCTGGATGCTGGGTTGCCAGTTGTGGAGTCATTACATGTAGAACAACAGTATCTAATATGCCAGTGTTTTCATAACATTTTCAAGGATGACCAAATTTGAGTGCAGAGAGTGACGCCTAAAGAGCACGAAACTGTAGCATCAACACAACAATAAGTGAACAATAGATGACTCACTGTGATAATCGTTTTGTACAACCACTTTTAAAATAGTTTACGTTTTAATTTCTCATTTTGCTTCTCATTATCCTCATTGACCAAGATTTGTCCAAGATGTCACCATTTTATAATTTCTGACAACAGATTTGATGGCTATTTAACGCAATGTATTTAAACGTAACCCTTTCACGGTGCTAGCCATCATCCTGTTATTTCACGTTAATGAAAGCCAAAATACAGAGGGACCGACAATGGACAACGTTCCAATCCATAACCTTCACTGGATGTTCGGTTAAAAACTCTAAGCTCAAAAACATGTCTAAACACAAAGATATAGTCAGAATCGTTCAATGGACTCTGCTTTCAGAGAGCTCTTATGGTTGTGGACATGAGTTTTGTCTCTTCTATTTGATTATCCCAACAGGCCAACTGTAAATATAAAACCCGGGTACTCCTCCAGCACCACGTCGGCCTTACCTTGACCCGCCAGGAGGGTCTGCAGCATGGCCAAGCCTACAATCAGCATACTGAGAGTCCTTCCTGCCAGTCGACTGAGCTCTAGGAGTCTCCCCTAATTGCGGCCTCAGTAACGTGTCTGTGTCGTGCTGTACGATAACATCCTCCCATCACCAGTGATTGGATACAGGAGGTGCTTGGGAACAGTGACGTCATTAGTCGTTAATGGATATTGTTCGCATACTTCTCTTCGTTAAAAACATTATACTTTGAATAATAAAAGATACGTAATTGAAGAATAATTGTCTCATCAAAACGTGTAGACACACACACAGGTACAGGGCTATCTTCAAAGGTCCAAGGCAAGCTAAATAAGGAAACAATGTGTGAAAAATACTGGACGTCCTCATTGATAACATCTGTGTAATATTGAGGGTCAGACATTTGGCAACAAGCAGACATCCCCATGGGCACCACTTGTGCCCCCTTCTTGTTGATCTGGTTAACGCTGGTTTTTTGTGTGGTATTTGGTTTAACACATTTGTGTGATGTTTTGGATAAGGCCGGTTATTTGAGTGATGTTTTGGATAAGGCCGGTTATTTGTGTGGTGTTTTGGATAAGGCCGGTTATATGTGTGATGTTTTGGATAAGGCCGGTTATTTGTGTGGTGTTTTGGATAACGCCAGTCATTTGAGACACACATTGTATAACGCTGTTTGTTTGAGTGGTATTTTGGATAACACTGCTTATTTGAATAATATTTTGGAAAATGCTGGGTATTTGAGTGATGTTTTGGAAAATGTTGGTTATTGGAATGGTGTTATTGATAACGCCAGTCAATTGAGCCACCCATTGCATAGCGCCGATTATTTGGGGGATGTTTTGGACAACACTGGTTATTTGAGTGATGTTTAGGATAACGCCGGTTATTCGAGTTATGTTTTGGATAACACCCGTTATTAAACTCACCTTTTGGATAACATCGGTTTTTAAAGTGATGTTTTGGATAACACCCGTTATTAAACTCACCTTTTGGATAACACCAGTTTTTAAAGTGATGTTTTGGGTAACACCCGTTATTAAACTCACCTTTTGGATGACACCGATTTTTAAAGTGATGTTTTGGATAACACCCGTTATTAAACTCACCTTTTGGATAACACCGGTTTTAAAAGTGATGTTTTGGATAACACCCGTTATTAAACTCACCTTTTGGATGACACCGGTTTTTAAAGTGATGTTTTGGATAACACCCGTTATTAAACTCACCTTTTGGATAACATCGGTTTTTAAAGTGATGTTTTGGATAACACCCGTTATTAAACTCACCTTTTGGATGACACCGGTTTTTAAAGTGATGTTTTGGGTAACACCCGTTATTAAACTCACCTTTTGGATGACACCGGTTTTTAAAGTGATGTTTTGGATAACACCCGTTATTAAACTCACCTTTTGGATGACACCGATTTTTAAAGTGATGTTTTGGATAACACCCGTTATTAAACTCACCTTTTGGATAACACCGGTTTTAAAAGTGATGTTTTGGATAACACCCGTTATTAAACTCACCTTTTGGATGACACCGGTTTTTAAAGTGATGTTTTGGATAACACCCGTTATTAAACTCACCTTTTGGATAACACCCGTTATTAAACTCACCTTTTGGATAACACCGGTTTTAAAAGTGATGTTTTGGATAACACCCGTTATTAAACTCACCTTTTGGATGACACCGTTTTTTAAAGTGATGTTTTGGATAACACCCGTTATTAAACTCACCTTTTGGATAACACCCGTTATTTAACTCACCTTTTGGATAACACCGGTTTTCAAAGTGATGTTTTGGATAACACCCGTTATTAAACTCACCGTTTGGATGACACCGGTTTTTAAAGTGATGTTTTGGATAACACCCGTTATTTAACTCACCTTTTGGATAACACCGGTTTTCAAAGTGATGTTTTGGATAACACCCGTTATTAAACTCACCTTTTTGATGACACCGGTTTTTAAAGTGATGTTTTGGATAACACCCGTTATTTAACTCACCATTTGGATGACACCGGTTTTTAAAGTGATGTTTTGGATAACACCCAATATTAAACCCACCTTTTGGATAACACCGGTTTTTAAAGTGATGTTTTGGATAACACCCGTTATTAAACTCACCTTTTGGATAACACCCGTTATTAAACTCACCTTTTGGATAACGCCGGTTTTTAAAGTGATGTTTTGGATAACACCCGTTATTAAACTCACCTTTTGGATGACACCGGTTTTAAAGTGATGTTTTGGATAACACCCGTTATTAAACTCACCTTTTGGATAACACCCGTTATTAAACTCACCTTTTGGATAACACCGGTTTTTAAAGTGATGTTTTGGATAACACCCGTTATTAAACTCACCTTTTGGATAACACCGTTTTTTTAAGTGATGTTTTGGATAAGGCCGTTATTGAAATGATGTTTTGGATGACACCTGTCATTTGAGCCACCCGTTGGATAACCTTGGTTATTTGAGTGGTATTTTGGATAACGCCGAATATGAAAGTCACCTTTTTTATGACACCGGTTCTCTGAGTGATGTTTTGGATAACGCCAGTTGTCTGAGTGATATTTTGGATAATGCTGGTTATTTGAGTGGTATTTTGGATAACGCCGAATATGAAAGTCACCTTTTTTATGACACCGGTTATCTGAGTGATGTTTTGGATAACGCCAGTTGTCTGAGTGATATTTTGGATAATGCTGGTTATTTGAGTGATGTTTTGGATAACGCCGATTATGAAAGTCACCTTTTTTCTGACACCGGTTATCTGAGTGATGTTTTGGATAACGCCAGTTGTCTGAGTGATGTTTAGGATAACGCTGGTTATCTAAGTGATGTTTAGGATAACGCTGATCATTTGAACCACCCATTGGATATTGTTGGTTATTTGAGTGGTATTTTGGAAAACACCAGTAATTTGAGTGATGTTTTGGATAACGTTGGTTATTTGAGAAATGTTTCGGATGACATCGGTTATTAGAGTCACCTTTTCGGTGACACCAGTTATTTGAATGACATTTTTGATGCCATTGGTTCTGGATTTTTGGATGGAATTAGTTATTTATGGGATGTTTTGAAAGATATCGGTTATTTGAGTGACGTTATGGATGACACCAGATGTTTGCGTGGTGTTTAATAACGGCAGCAGTTTTTGTAGGATTCTGTGGATGGGATGACACCAGATGTTTGCGTGGTGTTTTATAACGGCAGTAGTTTTTGTAGGATTCTATGGATGGGATGACACCAGATGTTTGCGTGGTGTTTTATAATGGCAGTAGTTTTTGTAGGATTCTGTGGATGGGATGACACCAGATGTTTGCGTGGTGTTTTATAACGGCAGCAGTTTTTGTAGGATTCTGCGGATGGGTTGACACCAGATGTTTGCGTGGTGTTTTATAATGGCAGCAGTTTTTGTAGGTTTCTGTGGATGGGATGACACCAGATGTTTGCGTGGTGTTTTATAATGGGAGCAGTTTTTGTAGGATTCTGTGGATGGGATGACACCAGATGTTTCTGGTGTTTTATAATGGCAGGAGTTTTTGTAGGATTCTGTGGATGGGTTGACACCAGATGTTTGCGTGGTGTTTTATAACGGCAGCAGTTTTTGTAGGATTCTGTGGATGGGTCGACACCAGATGTTTGCGTGGTGTTTTATAATGGCAGCAGTTTTTGTAGGATTCTGTGGATGGGTTGACACCAGATGTTTGCGTGGTGTTTTATAATGGCAGCAGTTTTTGTAGGATTCTGTGGATGGGTTGACACCAGATGTTTGCGTGGTGTTTTATAACGGCAGCAGTTTTTGTAGGATTCTGTGGATGGGTTGACACCAGATGTTTGCGTGGTGTTTTATAACGGCAGCAGTTTTTGTAGGATTCTGTGGATGTGTTGACACCAGATGTTTGCGTGGTGTTTTATAACGGCAGCAGTTTTTGTAGGATTCTGTGGATGTGTTGACACCAGATGTTTGCGTGGTGTTTTATAACGGCAGCAGTTTTTGTAGGATTCTGTGATGTGTTGACACCAGATGTTTGCGTGGTGTTTTATAACGGCAGCAGTTTTTGTAGGATTCTGTGGATGGGTTGACACCAGATGTTTGCGTGGTGTTTTATAACGGCAGCAGTTTTTGTAGGATTCTGTGGATGGGTTGACACCAGATGTTTGCGTGGTGTTTTATAATGGCAGCAGTTTTTGTAGGATTCTGTGAATGGGTTGACACCAGATGTTTGCGTGGTGTTTTATAATGGCAGCAGTTTTTGTAGGATTCTGTGGATGGGTTGACACCAGATGTTTGCGTGGTGTTTTATAATGGCAGCAGTTTTTGTAGGATTCTGTGGATGGGTTGACACCAGATGTTTGCGTGGTGTTTTATAACGGCAGCAGTTTTTGTAGGATTCTGTGAATGGGTTGACACCAGGTGTTTCTGGTGTTTAGGGTGGCTGCAGGTTATTGTTGGATGCGATGGCTGACAGTTGTGTGTGTGATATTGAGGACTGCAGCAGTTGTGCTCGGGATGTCGGAATCCTTCAAAGGACTCTGCGTTAAGCAGAGATTTCTCCTGAGAATGGAACGAGTTTTGTTGCTTATGTTTTTATTAAAAAGAGAACAAAAGTAACATCTTGTAGTGCATTTATTGTCCTATTATATATGGGTTGTTATACATGGTGCTGGGTAATACATGGTATTTGGTAATATATGGTGCTGGGAAATGTCTTCGTCATGTATCACCATATGAAGACGGTTTCTAGCCAAGCTGATTGCTGACATCGTGTAGATGTTGGTTTAAAGGTGAAGGATTAAAGGAAGTTCTCTACAATAAAACAGAAATACGATAAAGATAAGGTACACGGACATTTTGCCGGCTACCAATCCCACGTGTGTGTTCGATATAACTGATAGCATTGCATTGTGTAATATGTACATAAAGCTCAAATGAAGAAGAAAAAAATGCATGCCTGATTGGTATTGAATATTTTGGTGAATAAACATCGAAGCTATATATCAATGTAATTCAACAATCAATCAATGAAAACTTCCACAGCGAAAGATTGATCGCATAATCAACAATCCCGTGGA